TGATTTTGGTCCTTGGACAGCAGATATTACTGCATGTACTGTGTGAATAGTGCTTTTCCCAAAATATCAAAGATGATGTTTGTGGCAAGGTATAGGTCTTTGCATTGGTGCCATGGCAGGTATCTGATGCTATATTGAATGATCTAACTCTCATTTTTGACAAAGTTATGGTGCTCATAGTGATTTTGGTCCCTGGACAGATATTACTGCATGTACTGTGTGAATAGTGTTTTTCCCAAAATATCAAAGATGAGGTTTGTGGCAAGGTCTAGTCCTTTKCATTGGTGCCATGGGAGGTATCTGATGCTATATTGAATGATCTAACTCCCATTTTTGACAAACTTATGGTGCTCATAGTGATTTTGGTCCTTGGACAGCCGACTCGTACCGTGCCGTCCTTGAACGCTTTTCTTGCTGATTAGATTCCTTCACAAAAAATACAGTATCTTGGCATAGTTTTTATTTTAGTTTTTCTTGCTTTGCGAGAAGCGTACGGGCCATCTGTACGCAACGGGTAACTGGTACGATCCGTACTGTACTGTACTGTACGAAAAATCTTTTTTAACCGACCGATAAAGGAAAAAAAAGAAAGAAGCCTTGCTTCCCAAACAAAACACAAATCGCATCAAAAACGGAACAGCACGGACCAGCACAGAATTGAATCGATGAACAAAAACCGCTCACTCCCTCTATTCCTCTCGACAGCCACCGCGTACGCCTTCGGCTTCCTGCTGTGGATGACAGCCACCACCATCAAGGAATGTGGCGGTACCGTTCTTGCCCTTGCCCTTGCCACTCCACCTACCACCATTCCCGTCGCCGTTTTGGGGGCCACCGGAAGGCTCGGGAAAGAAACCGTCGGGGCCCTGCTAGAGAGGGGCATCCCCGTCCGGGCCCTGGTCCGGCCCTCGTCGGTCGAGAAGCTGAAGCAGCAGCAGAATCAGAATGAGCTACCAGGCGACGGAATCGGTATCCTGGACCACCCCCAAGTGGAAATCATCGAGGGGGAGCTTCTCGATACGCCCGCTTCCGGAACCTACAGCGACGACACGGTCTTGCCTTCCGAGGAGCTCGTGGAATGCCTGACCGGGTGCTCCGTCTGCATTGCCTGCTACGGTGCCACCCGCAAAACGAAACCCTCGGAGCTGCTGTCCTGGGTGTTGTCGACGAAGAGCAACGATGACGAACCCGACCCCTCGGAGGACACCGATCCGATCCACCCCAAGCAAATCAACTACCGGAGCATGCTTGCTCTGGGGAAGGCCTGCGAACGGATCAACAGCAGCAACAACAACAACAAGGACACCACCAGGATCGAGCACATCGTCCGCATTACGGGAAAGGGAGAAGACCCTACCGGAATCTTCTCCGTCCTGCTCAACGGTTTGGGTTCCTTCTGCAAGCTCTGGAACTACCAGGGCGAGACCGTGCTGCGCTCAAAGGCCTTTGGGGGCCCCAACTCCGGCACCAACGAAAACGAGGGCAGCGTCGGATACACCATCGTCCGGCCGGGGGTCATGGTGGAAGACCTAAAGGAAGACGATCTCAAGCCCGGCCAGCGCCGTTACCTGGAGCTGAAGGGCAACGGGGGGAACGATTTACCCGTGACGCCCGTTACCCGCCCGCAGATCGCGGGTCTCCTAGCGGAACTGGCGGTGGGGGAGGCTGCTGGTGCGGGCCGCCGGCGAAGGGTGACGCTTGCGGCCATGAACGTCGTTGCGGAGGACGAGGCCGGAGCCAGCGGCAGCGATCTGCGGGACCGGATCCGGGGCCTCGCCAGCGACTCGAGGAGCTTTCCGGACTCGCTGGTGCACGAGCACAAGTCGGCCACGAAGCGGTTTTTCCGGAGGCTGGCGGCGGCCGTGGCCGCGGTTGTGGTGGCTGCTGTGTCGCTTCTGGGCAAGGTGGTCCTGGGGTAGTTTCACACTTTGGCAATCATACCTTACCGTACAACACGGACGACCACCGACCAAAACCCGGCGGAGGCAGCTCCACCGTTCTCGAGTTTAGAATGTTAGCTTTGTATAGGGTTCAATTTTGTTGCATTCGGCTGAGAGGGCTAACCTGATCACCACACGTCGACTTCCTGGGGATTCCATCTCCGGTATATTTGCTATACGAACCAGCAGTACGAAAGAGCTGGTTGCTTGAACTGCATTTGAAACTGAAAGCGTGATTTTCTGGAGAACTTGAGAATATTCTACTGCTTCATTTGTATTTAGATAATAGTAGTATTTTTTACAATATTGAAGGTTCAGCAAGTATACTCTCTAAAGTCTGCTGTAAGGAGTAGAAGAGATAACAGATACAGAGCAACAGAAACTCTAGCAATTGGAAAATGGAAAAATCTTTCTGCAGAGATATGCAAATGACCTCATACGGTGTTTGTTGTCAGAAATAGTACTAGTAATAGATTTGTGATGCTTGTGCTGGAGTTGCATAGCAGATTGGTGGTGCTGTCAACTGGTGAGCAAAGACAAGAATTATATATCAAATATGCATTGCAAAAAGCAATGAACCATGTTTGTTGTTTGGTTGAGGGTACAGTCCCTGGGCCTAAACCGTGTTTGTTGGCGGTAGTTAGTGAGGCTTTTGTTCTTGGCTGAATCATCAGTATTAGTACTAGTACTGTATATTGGTGTTTTTGCCAGAATTGGACTTTTAGTAAAAAAGCTGTAACATTCATAGCATATCACAGTGTTGCTATCAACTGGTGAACAGCAGGAGGGACCAGAATGTAAAATTTATGTATCATTGCACAAAGAAATGGACCATTTTTGTTGTTTGTTGTTGCTTACTAGTAGTAGTAGTGAGGTTCTTGTTGGCAGAATAAGTAGCAGTACAGTAGTAGTATTGGTGCTTAAACTTCTAGTACTTCAAATTATTGATTGATTGTCATTCTTGTTGATGGTTGTACCACCAGTCAGTATTTTTGAACTTCTCAAAGTGAATGATCTCTTTTTGGGTATAGAGGAATGAAGAGGAAAAATCAAGGCTTTATAACACCAGAAATCAAGAGGCTTATTCCTAAGAAATTAATGTTTCACTAGACACAATTGATAGATACAAATGGGTATAGATTTATCATTGATAAGGTTCCAATTTCTTCTGATAGGTTGAATCAATAGTACTGGTCAAGTATGTAATATTAACTTGATACTAGTAGATCATGTGACAGAAAAGTATTACCAACACATATACTATCCAAAGATGGTCTTGGTTGGATCCATCAACCAGCACAATTCATGTGCAACACAATCACAAGTTTGTGTTAACTTGAAGACATAGATTTGTGGACACACCACATTTTGAATCAACCAAAGAAAAGAATGAAACATATACTAGTAATGCAAGCATTGCTGTTGCTGTTGCTATGCTTGAGTACTTTTTTGTCAATGGAATTTCAGTAGTAATATATCAGAGAGACCCCCCCAAAAAAATGATTGAAAAATCTGTGTACTATCCATGGTGTTAAGAACCTTTTCCTGACTCTGTCCCAACTATCCTTTTTGACATTTTTGGCATTAAATTTTTAAAGAGGATTAATATTGAACTGGTACAAGATAATAAACATATCAAACCATCACATAATGTCCTCTTCATTTTGCTACTACTAGGAGTCTCTTTAGAAATGACATTGCCACTGTTTCCAGAGGTAATGCCAATTGTCCTCTTCAAAGTGACTGTTTCTGATTTCACCCAATTGTGGTAAATATCCTTGGATAGCACAAAGGACCACTTGATCATGATGATGTGATCTCTGATTCTCTGGTTGCCTTGAGGAAGATGGATTGGAATATCCTCATTAGGATTCAATCTTCTTGGTTTCCACTACCAAAAGGCCTCCTGTTTGCACATAATTCCATGTTGGAGGAAGAAGAATACAAAGCAAAAGCCAAGAAAGCCCTAGCCTGTGCTGACTTTTCAAGAAGGTACGAGAAGGACATGAAGGGACGACGAGTATGGCAGTGAAGATGTCAAGGAATGGTTGCAGAAGTTACAATTTGGGTGTGTACAAAGAACACTGGAATAACTTCAACCATTGGGTGTAGTAGTAACAGATTTGAAACAAGGAATACTAATAGTACCTCCTCATGGGAAAAGAATAAGAGTTTTTAACGATTTGCGCATGCCCGTTATTTTGACTCCCCTCTTTGAAGGACGGCATTGCACAGACTGCCCACAGGAAAAAGGCCAGACCAATACAGAAAAAGCACAGGCTGAGTCCGGTATGTATGTATGAATGTACAAACTACCGATACCCTACTACAGCACTGTACTGAAAGTACCATGGATTTCCTGTACAGTACCATACATACAGTACCGTACAGTTTTTCAATACTACATGTACCACTACTACTACAGCTATGGTCCCTACTACTTCAATGAAACAGCACTGTAATTGAACTATCACTTATGTTCAAACGTGTTACTCCCAACATTATTAAACAGAACCTATTTAATTTAATACTACAAGTAGTAAGAACAATCTTAATCTCAGACTGTGGCATAAATAATAGTAGTAGCTGGTAGTAATGTCTTTTTAGTCCTCCTTGGCAGATACTAGCAAATAGCAATATTGGAGAGGATAGATCATTATATTTAGCATAAGATATCCCCATTGGCACCAATAAAGAAGAATATAACTTGCTACAAATCCCATCTATGATATTTTGGCAAAAGTACTCCTCTGACAACATAAATACTAGTATCCTCTGCCAAGAAGGACCCTACTACTAGTAGTACTACTAGCTACTTCTATTATTTATGCCACAGTCAGAGATTAAGATCATTCTTACTTGTACTATTAAATAGGTTCTGTGAAATGATGTTGAGAAGACTGCATTTGTACATTAGTGAAAGTTACATTACAGTTCTACTATTTCATTGCAGAAGGGACCATAGCTGTAGTACCTTAGTACTAGTGCTATTACGAGTACTGAAAACTGTACCGTATTGTGTACAGGAAATCTACCGTACTTGTACTGGAGGAGTACAGTAAGATCGATTTCCTGCGCCGGGCGGTCCGGTCTGTCTCCAAACGGAATCCTTTTCCGCCGGTGCAGGGCAGGGCAGGGTAGGGCAGGGTAGGGCAGGGCAGGGCAAACCACCGAACCATTCGAAACAAAAGCGTGCCCGTGCTCAAAAGCCAAAGAGCCCGCTGCCCGTCTTCTTGGGAGAGGGGGTCCCTCCCGATTCGTCGTCGGTGTAGTCGTCCTCGTCGTCCTCCGTGTAGTCGCTGCCGTCGTCGTCGTCGTCCTCGTTATCGTCGTGCTCCCCGCCGCAGTGGTTCTCCGCGGGTGGATCCATCGGTGGCGGCGGGGGGGGAAGGGCCGCTGGTGGCGGAGGGGGGGGAGGTGGAGGCGGCGGCGGCGGAACCGTCGCCTTCTTCACCGGCGGTTCCGGCCGAAGGGGTGCGGCGTCCGGAAACCCACCGGGGGAATCGGGGATCGCCGGAGCATCGCTTGGCAGCGGCGGTGGGAGTGCCTGCGGCCCACGGTCCGCGAGCTCCCCCCCCGGGGCCGGAACGGGGGCCGTTTCCAAGGCCGGAGAGGCCGATCCCGGGGGTTCCGTCTCGGGCGAAGCGCGGGCCAAGTGTTGGGCCTGCTGCTGCTGCGGTTCCACCGGCCTCGGCCGGGTCCCCTGCCGGGTCCCCAGCCGGGTCCCCTGCCGGGTCCCCAGCCGGTGGGGCTGGGCCACCCGCTCGTCACCGTCTTCCTCGACCTCCATTTCCAGCGTCGGCTCGATGCGTATGCGATCGGCGCCGTGGGTTCCGAAACCGCTGTGGTGGTTGCCGTTGCCGTTGTCGCTGTTGCTGCCCGGGGCCGAAGGGCAGCCGCCGTGGTCCACGATCCGGACGGTCCGCTCGACCGAGGATCCGGTGGTCCCTCGGCAGGACTCCGGAAGCCGGTGCAGGTATCCGGTTCCCACGGCCGCGCCCAGGAGGGAGTCCCCGTCCCCCCACCCGTAGGTCGGGTGGAGGCCGACGATCCGGACCACGTCGGTCTTCGAGTTGTAGACGTAGAGCTCTACGACGCGACCGAGGTACTGGTGGAGAAGGCCCGCCAGCACGTCCGTGGTGGAGAGCGTCGCCATCGTCGTCCCCAGCAAAAAGTCCTCGTTCGGGACGAGGCCCGCCAGCGCCGCCGGCCCCCCCTCGGAGGCCTCGAGGACCCGGACGAGGCGCTCGTCGGCGCCCCCGTAGTCGTCCAGCTTGATGGTCACGCCCAGGAGGCCCGCCCCGCCCCAGTCGTCGCTGGGGACCAGCTGGACTACGCGTTGCTCGCGGGCCTTGATGTTCCAGACCAGCAGCTCGACGGTCTGGTGGAGGTTCTCCCGGAGGAGGCGCGGGAAATCCACGTCGTCGTACTCGTCGCCCTCCTGCAGGTCGGCCCCGCTCCCCAGCAGCATCTCCTGGTTGGCTCCGACAATAAAATCGAAAAAGCTCACGAGCCCGGCCTTGGAGGCTGCGGGCAATTCGTTGTCGGTATCGTTGTCGGTATCGTTGTGCACACGGGTAAGGCATGCACGGTAGGGTTGGTTTCGGTGGATCGATGGGATGGGATGAGATGGGATAGCAAGTGGTGAGTGTTAGATTCCGTTCGTTCGTTGCACGCCAGTGCCATTGGATAGAAACCATTGGCAATTCGTGATTTTGGGGTGTCGGAGCGGCATCGAGAACAGCTGTTAGGAAGTTATCGTAGGGTACGGTAGTAAAGTACCGAAGAACAGAACGAGAACGAGCACTAGCGATAGCACTAGAACTAGCACGAGTTAAACTCCTCCGTAGCATCAATTGTGCTACGGCAAACCACGCAACAATTCCATTCGATCCCAACGCGGTTCGCATCGCATCGCATCGCCGGTTGAACAATCGAGCACGAGCGCTTGCATCCTTGTTTATTGTGCCACGCCATGCAATCCAAACGTACCAGGAGAATCCGGCTGAACCCCAAGGACACGGTATCCCAGTGTGTCGATCCCGTCGAACTGCTTTGCGTACTCGTCCGCGTCGTCCTCCTCTTCGTCGTAGCCGTGGTTGTAATCCCCGCCATCTTCGCCGCTCGCCGAATTTCCCATCGCACTTTCTTGCCTTCCCTGTTTCTGTTTCTGTTTCTGTTTCTGTTCTGTTCTTTGCTATGGTCTCTTAATGGATGCCTTGCGGAATCTCCTCGATGTCGTTGGAAGAGGAGTCAAAATCGATTCGTTTCGAGGGTACAAATGGAATGGAATCGAATGGATAACTGTAACCAATCGAGCGGAATACAAAGACGGAATGATTCGAAACGGAATCGAACCGATTGAAATGAAACGCACCCAAAACTCCGTATAGTAACCGTTGAGTACCGGTAGCATCGAAATTACATGTAAACACGCGCACTTGGTTACTAAACTGGTATGTGATATATCTGTGGAGGAGCTCGCGCAGCGCGTGTACCATAAATGTAACCAGAATTTTGTACCATGTCGTGTCCGTGTTATTATCACGGACACGACATGCTACAAAATTCTGGTTACATTTATGGTACACGCAGTGACATCACTGAGATCGAGAGCTTGCTCGAGATCGAAGTGATGTTACTGCAAGTATCTTCAACACCAAGCTCGAGAGCTTCTTTAGCTCGAGAGCTTGGTGTTGAAGATACTTGTTGCGCTGAAGCAGAGCTCTTCCACAGATATTTACGTAACCGTTGAGCAGCTCAACATTTCCATGTAACCACGGCGCTTGGTTACTGCGCGGCACTGGTGCCGAAGGCAGCAGGACGCTGATGCGATACGGAGGAGCCAGCACTGATACGATATGGAGGAGACGCTGATACGGAGGACGCTGATACAATACGGAGGAGCGGCTGATACGGAGGATGTTGATACGATACGGAGGAGCCAGCGCTGATACGGAGGACGCTGATACGATATGGAGGAGCCGCTGATATGATACAGAGGAGCCAGCGCTGATACGATACTGAGGAGCCACTGATACAGAGGACGGTGATACGATACGGCGTTCTGCTCTGCTGCTGGTGTTTTGCTTGTTTCCCCCTGCAAATCAATATTTCTACGGTGTTTTCTACACAAGCTTGTACTGGAATAGCAATCAAGATCAGTTTTTCTCTGAAAACTGCTCGCATTTTTAGTACTAATACTATGTACAGTATTTAGTGAAGACAGTTTTTAGTTTGCACCGTACGGTACCGTACCTGTCGAGGTGCATGGTACAAGTGCGCACAAGGGAACCAGTGCGCCTGTTTTTGTAACCAGACCCTTTTTTTTGTAACMACACTACTAGTGTTATCGTGGTTAAAATATGGGCTCTCCTTAAGGAAGGGTTTGGTTACAATTTCTGGTTACAAAAACTCAATTCGCGCGCTTGTACCATGTCTGAGGTGTGTGTATTTAAGCAAAAAATAACTAGTGTTTGTTAGTGTTAGTTTTTTGTATCCGCGCAGTAACCAAGTGCGCGTGGTTACATGGAAATGTTGAGCTGCTCAACGGTTATGTGATATATCTGTGGAGGAGCTCGCGCAGCGCGTGTACCATAAATGTAACCAGAATTTTGTACCTTGGCGTGTCCGTGTTATTATCACGGGAAAATTTTTGTACCATGCGCTCGAGAGCTTACCTTGGCGTGTCCGTGTTATTATAACGGGAAAATTTTTGTACCATGCGCTCAAGAGCTTTAGCTCAAGAGCGCATGGTACAAAAATTTTCCCCGTGATAATAACACGGACACGCCAAGGTACAAAATTCTGGTTACATTTATGGTACACACAGTGACATCACTGAGATTGAGAGCTTTAGCTCGAGATCGAAGTGATGTTACTGCAAGTACTATCTTCAGCAACACCACCAACAAGCTCAAGAGCTTTAGCTCGAGAGCTTGTTGTTGGTGTTGTTGAAGATAGTACTTGTAGCGCTGAAAGCAGAGCTCTTCCACAGATATTTACGTAACCGTTGAGCAGCTCAGCATTTCCATGTAACCACAAGCGTTTGGTTACTGCGGATCAAGCAAATGAACTACAAGCACTGCCTCCTCTGATGTAGGGGATTGAGCTTTTTCTCTCTGATACGGAGGAGCCGCTGATACAACACGGAGGAGCCGCTGATACAACACGGAGGAGCCGCTGATACGGAGGACGCTGATACGGAGGAGCCGCTGATACGGAGGAGCCGCTGATACGATAGTACGGAGGAGCCCCTGATACGATACACGGAGAAGCAAAAGGAGGAGCCGCCAATACGATGCTACGGAATATGGAGGAGCCAGCGCTGAAATGATACGGAGGAGCCAGCGCTGATACGATATGGAGGAGCCAGCGCTGATACGATACGGAGGAGCCAGCGCTGATACAATACGGAGGATGCTGATACAGAGGATGCTGATACGGAGGACGCTGATACGGAGGACGCTGATATGATACGGCGGACACTGATACGAGTTGCTGATACAATGCGGAGGACACTGATACAAGTTGCTGATACGATACAGCTTTCTGCTCTGCTGCTGGTGTTTTGCTTGATTTTTTGCTTGTTTCCCCCTGCAAATCAATATTTCTACAGTGTTTTCTACACAAGTTTGTACTGGAATAGCAATCGAGATGAGTTTTTTTCACTGAAACTGCTTACATTTTTTTAGTACTCCTCGTACAAAATACAGTGCTGTGTACTGATACTACGTATTTACAGTAGTGAAGACAGTTTTTAGTTTGTACCTGTCAAGGTGCATGGTACAAGCGCGCACAAGGGAACCAGTGCGCCTGTTTTTGTAACCAGACCCTTTTTTTTTGTAACCACACTACTAGTGTTATCGTGGTGAAAATATGGGCTCTCCTTAAGGAAGGGTTTGGTTACAATTTCTGGTTACAAAAACTCAATCCGCGCGCTTGTAACTGTTGAGCAGCTCAACATTTCCATGTAACCACGCGCACTTGGTTACTGCGCGGATACAAAAAACTAACACTAACAAACGCTAGTTATTTTTTGCTTAAATACACGCACCTCAACATGGTACAAGCGCGCGAATTGAGTTTTTGTAACCAAAAATTGTAACCAAACCCTTCCTTAAGGAGAGCCCATATTTTCACCACGATAACGCTAGTAGTGTGGTTACAAAAAAAAGGGTCTGGTTACAAAAACAGGCGCACTGGTTCCCTTGTGCGTGCATGTAACCACATGTAACCACAACAGCTACTAAAAACTGTCTTGGTTGCTCACGATATTCAGTACTGTACTGAATACTGTACCAAGTACAGTACAAGCACTGACCAAAATCGTGACAGTTTCTGTCAAAAAACTGATCTTTTTTGCTATTCTAGTACAAAGCTCACGTAGAAAGACCGTAGAAATATCGAAAAACACACTATTTGCAGGGGGGAACAAGCAAAACACAAAAAAAGCAACAGTATCGACCATGAGGACCAGAAGCAACAAATCAACCACACCTCCAGCAAAGAGGAAGAAGCCTCCKGCTAAGAAGAATAAGAAGAAGGACGATGACAGCGTCGACTGTGGCGCGTGGCCAGAAAAAAGGGAGATGTTCAGAGAATTGTCTCAGCAGGCCAGCGCTCAAAAGAGAAACAAGCTGTTCTGCTCCTCACAGCAAGATCCAAGCTTTAAGAGCATTGGTGCTGAGGTAAGTTGGGGGGAAGAGGAGGAAAACACCTGTCCTGGAAGAAAGAAGGCGCCGCCGGCGCCCAGTCAAACAAGCGCAACACCGGCAACAAGGAGGGAAAGAATCCAGTTGGCGCCGGAAGAAGAAGCAGGAACAGCAGCTGCAACAAAACCAAGAAGAGTATCTCTTTCCACCACGCCAGCTGCTGTAAATCAAAGGAGACCACCAATTTGTAATCCGTACAGCACAGCGAACAAGAACAACACCAAAAAGAAGAAACGCATTGCTGTATCCACCAAGAAGACTACTAGTAACGACAACAAGAACAAGGCGCCAGCAAAAAAGAAAGCACCAGCCGCAACAGCAAAGAAGAAGCCAGCACCGACGCCAGCAGTAGCTGCCAGCACTGTCACCAAACAAAGCGCTAGTACTAACGAGGAGGCGAAGTTTGAATACGCAAAGAAGCTCATTAATAACCCAAACGCCTTCAACACGCTGGGGAGTGATGAGTATGCAACAGCTGAATCAAGCAGCAAGGGGTATGCAGCGAAAAAGAAGAGCCGCCTTGCAAGGTTCGTGAAGACAATACTTGATGCTACAAATCCAGCAATGAACACACCAGGAGACAAAGTAATGTATGAGATGTTCACCAAGAAGGTTCCTATGAATGATGGATTAACTGAAGACTACTTATTCTACAAGAATGTCGGAGGCAAGCCGGATGCCCTGAAGAAGACCCTGATGAATCAAGCCCTCATGATATGGACGCTTAATATCAAGAATGCAAAGACTGGGGATCCTCTGGATACAAACACTCATTCAGTTCTCAGCTTTTCATGAAAAGGGGATCCAGTTCAATGAAGCGGACTTCAAAGGCAAGGGCTCATTCCTCAGTGCACTAAAGTTTGATTTCAACAAGAAGAGGGCTGTTGATCCAACACTAGGAACCAAGAGGAACAAGGCTTCCTTTGACAAGTATGGCGATGCAAAGTTTGCAACCTTGCTTGAAACTGGTGTGTATAAGCCTTATGAAGACATGCAAGACCTCCTCAAGATAATGGCGATGGAGCTTGGAAGACAGTTTGGCCTCAGGGGGAGGGATGAGATTGTCTTTCTTGAATGGGCGTGGATGAAGCTTGGACAGTTCCCCTGTGGTAACATGGAGGGTGATCGATATGTAACCATTGCCCCGGGGGGAGGCTTCGACAAGGGGAACCAGCTCAGCTTGAGCAATCCAACCGTGAGCAAGATGTTCCCAACAGTGGTGGAGGACAAGACCAATCCCTACTGTATCATCAAGCTGATCAACTTCTATAGACAGAGATGCCATCCGGATCAACAGAGGTTCCTGTGCTATGTAAAAGACAACAGATCCAAGGATGATCCTTATTACTTCAAAGCCGGCATGCCAGTGGGACAAGACGCCGTAAGGAAGTGGGTGAAGGGAATTGCCACAGCAGCTGGGTATAAGGATGCAGAGAAGTATACTCCTCATGATAATCGTCATCGATGCTGTACTGTGTTGGCATCCAACGTGAATGTTCCTGAAAAGCTCAAGATGAATCATCTTAGGCATAAGAGTGCCAAGTTCTCTCAAGTGTATGATCATGCAACTTCGACAACTCAGCAGCGCGT